CATTTTTTAGAAAAGTAGTTTTTGTGTTTTACAGATGATATACACTTTATATGTAAATTAGCTCTTCTGACGACTGTCTAAAATGTTATTTGAGAATTTTAGTCTCAGTTTAAGAAATTAGGATTATTTCTTAATACATCTAAATATAAGGTTATGACGTTCACTAGATCCCATTTTCCTCTAATGTTCTTTTATCATATTCTAATATTTTAATTTGTAATGAATTTGTTTAGGATCTAGCCTTTAAATTGTCTAATCTTGACTTGAGTCTTCATATTCATATGACCTGCTGTAAAACTTTAAAAGTGGTTAGCTTTATTATGAATTTGGTTAAATATTTTAAGCTTAAATCTCCAATAAAGGTTCTTTACTGCATCATAGTTCAGCCTATAATACTTGAATAAATGGTGCCATAATTTGGGATCCGTATACAACTGATAACGCCCTACAGCTGAAATGGGTTTAACGAAGGTTTCTGAAATTCACCAGTTACATTCTGGACGTTGCTTGTCCACCACACAATTATTATCTTGTTGCCAATCATCTTGGTTTAGTTTGATTAGCGCAGACCAGGCATTTGTATAAGAACCAAATTTGTAAAAGCCTATTAATAGATTATGTTAATTCTCCATATTTTCTCAATTAACTTTAAAGTCCCACAACAATCTTCTAGTTTTTCTTCTGCGTCCTTCATATCTTAAAGTACCACTAACTTCATGAGAAATGAAATAATACGACGTTTGATGGCCCATGCCAATACATAACCCCGAATTTCATTTTTAGTTATTTTTTTTAAATTTTATTTTAAAATTGTATTATGTTATCTATAGTATTTACTATAATGTAATTTGATTTTTGCTAAAGAGCATGCCCGTATATTTTACAATAAATAAATAAGTATATAAAGAATTGCCCGTATCATAATATTTATTAAATATTACCTTTGATGGAATATTTATGCGTTATTAAGTTTAAGTGTGTTAGATAAACCTTTATGCTACTATATTTATTTTATTTTCAAAACTAATATTTTTTATAGAAAATAATCATATTTATAAGTATATATAAATATAATCATTATAGACGGTACTCGTACGCTTTATCGTACATATTATATAGGTCTAAAATTTAATTAATCACCTATTGAGTTACAGTGTATCAATCCTCAATAAGACACTCATTATCTCGGAAAGTATTTACTTTTTTCGAAATTTGTTTTTTGGAACTGTTTAGAGATCAACATATCTTAAATGTTACATTGTCGTTATATTTTATCACCCTTATTTTACGGGGTGAAACCACTATCTACTTTTGACTTATAGTTAATTTTAAAAAAAAAGGAATTTCTTTTCTCTCAACCAGTTTGGTTTTACTTCTGGTAAGTCTACTAGAAATGTACATATCATTGTAAATCGTAATAGTAAAAAAAAATTGTCTATAAAGTATTGGGTGAAAATTATTAAGTCTTAGGAATATTTCTAGATTTAAAAAAAGCATTTGACCCAATAAACCATACAATATTGTTAAAAAAAACTTATAAATTCAGGAATTCGTGACATTTCTAGTAAGCTTTTACCTATCAAATAGAATGCAACGAGATAAAATTTACAATATGTCAATATGTATAGTAATATTTTAAACATCATGGGTAATATTTGCCTCTGAGTACAGTACTAGAACCTCTGGTTTTTATCATTTTTATAAATGGATTACTTAACTTAAAAATAAATGCAAAGGTGATATGTTTTTGCAGATGATACAACCCCGTTAATTTCTAATAAATCATACAGTAGAATTATATTCTATAGCAAAATTGTGTAAATAATGTTTAATCATGGTGTGATAATAAATTATTGCAGTTAAATTTGAATAAAACTAAATATATGTGTTTTAAAATACAAAATAATAGATTTAATATTACTGCGTTTAAATTATATACCTATGCATTATTGCAATAGTAAAAACTCAAATTGTTTTTGTATATAAAAGGTAAATAACATTAAATATCTAGGATTTTATTATGATGATAAACTAAAATAGAACATTTATTAATTATTTGACAAAAGAAAATAATTTTATATTTTCAAGTGTGCTATTAAATATGATCATAGTATCTAACTGAAACATAAATATATATATATATATATATATAAATGCAAAGGTATATATATAAATCAAATTTATATTTATCTTTTGTGCTATACATATTAATGTTTGGGTATTAAATTCTAGTATTTTACCTATAATAATGACATTATTATTTTAAAATTCAAATAAATTAATTATTAACCTATATTTTATATAAAAGTATAAAAGTTTATATTTGGTCTATATCTAATAATAATACCATTTATTGTATGCATTATGTTCAAGAACTCAATCAAATTTATAAAAAGCATTTCTACTTCTTCTTTTTGAATTTAAATATATACTTAATCCTTATCCTCACAGATATTCTACGAGACATATAATACAAACACCAATCTAATACAATATATAATATTACAAATTTTAGAAAACTAAATTCATTAATTGCAGGAATTATATAAGAATTATATAAGGAATTGATATTTGCTTTCAACTAAATATTAATATCTTAAATTTTTTTTAAAAAAAAGCTGATACTGAGGATGGGAGCAGTCACTATTGTAGGTGAGAAGTTGGGAAGGTAGAATACATAAGGTTATTTTATTTATATTTATAAACAACGATAAACAATTGCTTGACGAAGGACGATTCCGAGCGCCGTTCGGTAATACATAATTTGAAGTGCTGTAATTTTTTTTGCGATTTCGTTTAAATTTGATTTCAAAACGTTTATTAAAAAAAAAATAAGTTGTTCGGTGATTTTGGAAATTTCACCACGTCTAGGTAAGTCCAATATAAATATTATTATCAAGTTTCAAGTCTCTATGTGTATTTATAACCGAATAGCAGCAAAAAGCTCCCAAAAGTTAAAATACCTTAAAAGCTCAAAATTGGCTCAACAATTTTGGCGATAACACCGTATGAAAGAAAATGAAAAAGGCAACAAAAAAGGTACCTTGTGATTTTTTAACTGAATCATTTTTCTGGTAGAAAACATCGTCCGTGTTTTTATAAAATAATGAAATCGTGAAATTTTACGTATTCCTACGTTTTTCCCACTTAAGTGCTTCTATTTAAATGTCGTTAAAAATCGAAAATAACCTGTTTAAAGTCCAATCTAGACAACTTGAGCTTTTAGAAAAGATACTACACGTAAAAATCAGAACAAGTTTACTAGGATAAAACGTGTCCACAGACTAAAAGAAAGAAAAAATAAAATAAACATGTTAGTAAAAGCAATAGTTCTCTCGTTACGCTCGGAATCTAAAATATAAGTATTTTTAAAAAATAAATTTATAGTCTAACATTATAAAAATATGTGAATAAATTTGAAATATGTAATGTCTCTTATTTAATTTATATACTAATATGTAATTACTATATGTTTGCTGGCTATTGTGAATGTTTTATTTATTATTATTTGTTATTCAATATATATATTTTTATTGTTAGTTACATGAACTCAACATCACTATTTCAAGCAGTGCTTATAAGTTATGTTTAACCATGATTCTATGTTTTGTTATTATGTTGTGATAAGCTCATGTTATTTTTGGTTACAATAAACAACTATTATTAAATTATATCGGTTTAAAAAACAACTTATATTAAAAATTCCACTAACAGATTACGTTTTAATTAAAATAAATGTTACCGTTGACATTTTTAATTTCCATCAACTCGTTCACGAGATATTCTACTTTTAAGTTCGGGTAGAAGGAGAGAAGTAGAACACTTTTGATGGGAAAAATCCTGAGAAAATCGAAAAATGACCTCCCTTAAGTACCCCCCCGAGTCCGAATATTTTTCAAATTAGTGTCTTGTCGAAGATTAATCATTTAGTCTCTTTAGTCTTTATATCTTTACAGCTGTGCAGCGTATAGGTATTAGATATATACTCGGATAAATTATACGTGTTTTAATATTATATATTGTATATACGAGTACATACCGATATTTTTCAAATCTGACCTTTATTTTTTACATAGTTTGATATTCAAAACAAAAAGGTATAAGTTAATTATACTTACATATTGCTATTTGTTAACGTCTAACACTCAAAGAAATTAAATACCAACTCTTAAAATATAATATTTTAAGCCCAGACATTGATAGAGGATTAGTGCGGATAAAATTCACAATGCATTACTCGCGTCATCAGATAATCAGTTATCTTATCTATGTTTTACAATATCTTATATAACACTTATAATTAATATAATACTTATTTAATAAGTCCAATACTCGATGCCATGCAGTGCATATATGTTATAATTACATCATCGCGTCTTCAATTAGTTAATTCTATAGACCTTATTTTAGTTGTAAACTAAACGTTCATTTCTACATATATAGTAGGTGTGACTTTGATCGTTTTCACCTCTTCACTATACAAAAAAAATCCATTAATTTCCGTCTAAAAAACAACCACTCCTCTACATAACCCAGAACGGACTTGGTAACTTAGAATAACTAATATACTATGAATTAGTTAAACTATATTATATACATATATATGTATTGATCGAGATTTTGCTTAAGATAAGACCATTTACGACTTCATTCGGATTCCGCGAAGTTCGAAAATGATAATTTTTTAAAATGATGAATACGGATTTGATTTTTATTATTTACTCATCATGCGAAAATTACCAAGGTTATTATCTCGTTCTGCAATTGTGCATAAAGATTTCGAAATGCCGTTAACCCTCTTATAGTTTAAATTGATGATTCTTGCCCACTATATAATTTATAGGTATAATAAAAAAATAAACAGAATGATTTTTTAACAAAATAACAAATTACAATTAAAACTATATTTATTAAAAGAAATAACTAAGTTATTTTTTAAAATTTTGTTGTAATTTTAACTACAGTTAAGTTAAAAATATTCTCAAAAGAAAAAATTTTTTTAACTATTTTACTTAAGTTACTAGCCAGCATTGTAATTGTGTTGTGCATTAAACTTGTAAAATTAATTATGATTATTTTATAGTTACAACTATACTTAAATAATTTTTGGAATAGAAATTAATCGACGAAATCACATATAGGTAAATAGATAAATAAACAAATCTCATAAACTCATACATAATGGTACGATTATATTTGTGTGACGAGCCATTCGTTTGTATATATATATATGTATATTATAATTAATTCCAACAGTTAAAATGATAAAAACGTACAAATGAATAGCTGCGGTGGCAGCTATTTGTAAACGATAACAGTATGCTGCAGGTATTAGAAAATTCGTATAAAAAAAAATTTAAAAAAATTAACGTTTCCGTTAATTTTTTTTCATCGCACATTATGAAATAATTGTATTCTTCCGATGATATAGGATTAAATATCACCCGACTATGTTAATTTAAGCATTTATAGACTATATTTGAATAATTTTGCTTATTTTAAAATTTAAATAAGTTGGTACCTATTTAAATGTAGGTACCGCACCTACGAATTATTTACTTATTTACTATTTAAACGATTTGTCATTTATTATAAATTATAACGTTTGATACCCGTATAAATAATTGGCGCCGTATCAAAATCGCGTTTACAAAAATATTATTGCTTTAGTATTATCGCATCACACTTTTCCTTTAATACAAGATGAATATTCTAATATTGTTAGTGCGATTATTGATTGAATTGTTCTGAGGTGGCGTACACGGTACTCAAAAGGTTATCAAAAATGTCTAAATTCTAATTTTTTTTGTAAATTTAATGTTTTATTATGTATTATTGAAGTGCAACATATTTAACATAAAACCCACTTTAAGATAATCATTCACATTTTTAAAACAAAATAAATCGTATATAGAAAGCTATTATTATAGTATATGTTTATTTTCTAAAACAGCTAGTTACATTTAAGTATTGAAAAAAAAAAATTTTTGTAGTTAATAAAAATATCACGAGTATAATATAAACCTACATTCTAAATAAATCGAATAAAACAAGAGACAAAAAAAAAGACTAAAAATATTTTGCAGAATTGTATATAATAATATATATATTGACTTGTTTCCATAAACGCCGTATAATGTAGACATGATGTAGTCGATGAAGAATATGAGTACCTACATATAGAAAACAAAGGAAATTTCCATACTTTGTGTCGTACAACATTTTTTAATTTTTTTTTTTTTTAAGAAATATATGTTGAAGACACACCTCTACAGCGTAACAGCTATACTGCGATATTTAACATATTTTTTAAAATCCCTGCTTTTTTCAACTTTATCGATTCGAAAATTATACGAGTAAAAACTCAAACTAATAAAAATCAATAATGAATTATACAATAAAATTATCTAAAAGATTTTGAAGATTTTGCGGACCTGACACCGGTTTTCCAAATTTTTTTTAACATTTTAATAACCTGATTAAAGATGAGCTGATTTTTCATTGATCTACTACTACACGATACCAATTTTAGAGGAAGGGCTAAAGCTTTTGTTTAAACGAAAACGACGCTATATACTATTATCAATATACTATTTTCCTATAATTTTTGTATAATTGATAAACAAATATATTCTATATACCGCATTGAACCGTTTTCCCGTTTAATTTAAATAACAATTTTTTTAATAACGTTGTTTACATCTTCTTTCCAACACAAAAAATATAAGAGTTTTTTCCTTAATCCATTTTCCTGAAGCCTTGGAGCCGAAACACGTACCGAAACCGTACATACTTTTAATAGTTATTTATTATCATAGCCTTGTTATAGCATTTTCAAAACGTATCATTATATTATATTGCGTAAATAATGTCACACCTTATATACTACGTCGTATCCGTAACCTATCCGTAAAAAATACGGGAGGGTATATAGAAGGATAAATATATCGCTGTTTCAAATTTAAATATATAATGATGCAAATGTTAATTTTTATATTTTAATATAATATACTTTATACACAACGCCTAATAATGTATACATTATAATGTATAATATCATGACTATCTAAATTATTATGTTTTGTATTATTACTAATTGTACCGATGATTAAGACCGGATTAAGTGGCTTATAGTTTGAAAATGGGCCCACATTTATATTAAAAATATTTTCAGCGAACATTTTATATACTTGATACCCAAATTTGATCTCTATAAAAGAGGTCCCCTGCCATCCGCTTTATCCGATCTTACTAGTGGTAGTCGCAGTGTCTGTAGTGTAGATGAATGGTTGGATATAATAACTTCTGCAATCCCAATATGAATCCTCTCAATATAAATTTGTCGTCCTAGAGCAAAAGCTATTTTTGCACTTATGTTAATCCGTCGCCGACGATGAACTTCATCTATAAAACTGTCATACATTTTTGGCACTAGAGTTATCGGAATTTCGCCAATTTAGCAATTTTTGTATTATACTATAAATTAATTTTCAAAAGTTAAACCTAAGCCCTTCTTCTTTGTGACCAAGAGGCAAAGAGATAATATAATGATATATAATTTAAAACGGATTTGTAGTCAAACCGTAAAACTCCATTGGTATTTTCCGTTAAAGGGTGTTATTTGAAATTTAAACACAAACTTGGGACGGTTTTTTGTATTTTCGAGTTAACAACTATCAATTTTAGTCAGAAAGGATCAGTTTTACAAGAGTCCAAGTTCGCTGTATTTTCATATTAATCTTTGGCTCGGATGCCTGGTTAAAAACGCGTAAATACTTATCGAGTACTATATATAGTCAAAATTTTTACGCAATTTTAAATATAATTAAATAATCCAACAACAGCACTGGATTTTAAATCTCGGGTACGTGATTTAAAATATACGTTCGACTCAACAGGAAGAGATACCGCGCATACCTACGTGCGGCAGACATTGCACGTGCAATATTTTATTATTCTTTCAGATTACAGTTTTCGTATAATCGCATCCGCCATAGTAGTCGGCGTAGTTGTTTCAATTATTTTTCCGACACGTTATTGTATGATAAATATTATTATATCGTCGTGACACAACAAAATATGGCCACCGTTGTACGCGAGCAATGGACGGACATTATAATATTATTAACTCGTTGAGCGTATTATTATTCATATTATTTTAGGTGTGTCAGCATCGGTTCGGCTACCAGAGAATCAATATTGAATGACAAAAAAAAATAATAATAATAATCGAATAACGGCGAATGGCGATGAAGAAATTCTCAAATTTTCACGGGTGTCACAAATATAAAACCCAGTAAAATATTGACATCTTTGGTATTTGATCCCGGAGAAGGAGTGCTCGAATCAATTAAAGCATAATTTTCAATATAAACAAATTAAATTTTGAAATTATACACATTTATGAGATTTTTACGCCAACAACTTAAAGGGAAACAATTTTGTTAGACAAAATTATAAAATAATAAAAGATTTCCAAAATTGATTTTATTGTCTCTTTTCCGGGAGTGCCGGAAAATGATCGGATTATAGTAAGTATTTTATACCTATCGAATTATTAATTATACAACGTGGAAAAAATTTAACTCAAAGTGGCTTTGATGCTACGAGTTTAGTGAACGCTAGGCCCTAATACCTACTGGTATACAGCCCAGGGGGGTGATTTCAGTAGACATATGGTATTGTTTCTGTAGGGTCTCCATCCTATAGAATCCTCCGAATTTACTTTATAGTTGAAAATACCATTTTCTTTGTGGGAGAGGATCAAAGTACTTTCAGGGTACTTCTATCTGTCGTAAGAGGCAATCAATGGGCAGTGGCGTTAAATGGTCACTGCAGTTTCTGGTGGTAAAGTGAAATATTTAATTTTCCAACTCACCATTACACCAACTTTCTTGGTTCTTAATCTCTGCTTAGTAAACAATTAATTTCCATCTCTAACAATTTTTATTCTCACAAAAATTTCCCACTAAATAACAAAAATGTAATTTAAAATTTAAGGTTGGCATATCAGCGGATAAATAATGTCAGTAGATCTAATTCAGGTGATTTAGGTTAATGTAGTTACTCCTTCGTACGTGCCATACTGTTACACATGATGGTGGCCCTGCAATCATAAAATTATAACATAACGAAAATACTATTTTCTTGTTGTTTTAATACTAAGTTACTTTAAAAATTCAAAAATTAAAATATACAAAATACAGAATGTAACAATTTTTTTTAAAATATTCTGGCGTTGCAAAAAGATCAGTTTTCACCACCTCTACTGAAAATCAATTGTACAGTTCTACAGTTCTACATTTGAATTACAGTCCAATTTACGCTACTGCCAATGAGATTGCATAAGGTCGATAGCTGGTATAAAATTCTGTCAAATAGAATAAGGAATTTTAAACAAGAATTTGGTAGATCGTTTGCTCTCGGATGTGCGCGGAAGCAACATATATGTGCACGATATTTGCAGATGATAAAGCTTTGATAGGAAAAAATCTGGAATAAGTTAACGATAGACTCAAGGAATGGAGGGTAGTATTCTTAGTCTCTAGACTAAGAGTAAGTAGAAGTACTCGTAAAATAGAGTAAGAGTTTGGAGGAATAAAACAAGACAACTGACAACAATAAGCGGTTATAGGCGAGATTGAGAGTTTTAAGTACCTATAGCAGTGGTTCTCAACCTTTTTGGGTCCTCGGCTCTTCTGATTTTGAAATCCAAATTAGCGGCTCCTTTACGAATAATGATAATAATAAAAATTAAAATAGGTGAATAAATATTTTTTTGTATAGTACCTACTTTACTATATTTACTATAGATGCGGTTCGCTTGATACTAAAACACGACGCCCCTGGGAGCCACGATGCACAGGTTGAAAATCACTACCCTATAGGATCTTTTGTATAAAAGAACGGTGTCTTTTATGAGGATGTGAAACATTTTCGATTAAGTGTGATTAGATAAAATCGGGAAAAGTGGCAGTTGTTTTATGTGACAAGAGAATTCCAATGAGACTTAAAGTTAAGTTCTACAAAAGTATGGTGAGACTGATATTATTATTTGGTTCGGTGTGTTGGTTGATAGACAGAAAAATATAACAGGAAATGAATACAGTAGAGATGATAATGTTCAGGTAGATAATGTTGGCGTGACCAGAAAAGATAATAATAGGTAGCTTAGGCGTGGCTTTGATAATAGATAAAACGAGAAAATAAGATAGTTTAGGCATATCACGAGGTGAACGAAAAATCTGAAGCAGTAAAAATTATAATAAAAATAAACACAGGAACTTTAAGAGATGGAAAGAAATATCGAAAAAGAGATGATTGGGTGTGGTTAAGAATGATATGAGGATGGCAGGTATATGTGAGGACGACGTGGAAGATCGGGTCAAGTGGAAGTTTTGAACGAGGATGGCCGGCCCCAAACAGTTGGGAAGAAGGCGAAGGAAAAAAATACTTGCAACACACTGGAAACACGACAGCAATAATATCAACAATAGCATTTGTTTATAATAATATTATCAGAACAGCGAAATATTAACGAATACAATGGTACTATTTTTACTCGTCCCTTTATAACCACGGCTTAATAACGGCTTTTAACCATCACCGAAACTTTTTTTTTGTATACAATTTTAAACGTTTAAAACTTTTTCTCCGATTTACTCTGCCCTTACCGCAGGAGATTAGTAGGAACTAAATTCAGGTATGAAAATCGTAATTATCCGGTACATATTATATTAAAGTTTGGCTATAGAATTTAACCTATGATGGAACTATAAAGTATATGCTCAGTACAAACATATAGAAACACTATTTCGTTACGAGATCGTGTAGATTTGTGTGCTTTAAAAGATACAGGTCCACATTCGCTAATCTAATTCAATTTCGTATACACATACGATTCCTATATTTTTTGGCGAAGCCTGCAGTGCACGTCAAAAAGTCTCACTCACCGCGACACTCTGTATACCATGTACACAGTTCGGGCACCTGTCTTACGACCGGGAAAAACGACGTAATCTAAAAGAATAACAGTGTACAATAATACAATTATTATGCTACCGTTTTATTTTAACGAGACATATAATAATATACATATTATGTATAATAATATTTTGGACACGGGTGGTGCCACCGGGCGCATTTCCGACGTTTCCGTATCCGTCGTAATATTTATATACTCGCGTGTCAATATTTTATGTCGTAAATCAAATTATGCCACTGTGCATGATAAGTCGTGTGAAAAAATAATGTTCTTTTTTTTTTATTCTGATAAAATTAATTATCCCGACCCGTTCGCGCACGTAAAAATATATTTTCGGTGCGCATATACGGAAAACGCTGGATTTTATTGCAATATTATTATTGTGACAATTTTACGGCCGTCGCCGCCATTAACCTTGGCTCGGGTTCATCGGTTTGCTGAAATTTTTTCGCCGTCAAAAAGAACCAAAACAAAACGAGGGCACGGCAGAATATAATATACGTAAACGCACGCGTCTGTTGACCCTGCTTCTCCCCCCCTCCCACCACCATCCCTCGTCCCGAAAGAAATACAAACAATATTATTATTAGAGTTCGGGCGGCGGCGCGGCGATCGCCGTACGTCGTACAGGGCGCGCGCAGGATCACATGGTACGCGCAGCGTGGCGTCCGCCCGTTATCGGCCGTTGCGCCGCGACGCAGTAAGCCGAATCCCCGGAGACCGTTGAGGCCGTCGTCGCCACCACGCCGACGGGCGGATAAAAGAAAAAAATAAAACCCGCGAAAGTCGCGCCAGTAGCGCGTGACGCTCCACGCCGTACGTATTTATACACGAGCGCGAGTGCGCGCGACCGCCGTAATCGTTTTATAACACCTACCTATATAATAACACTCAACGGTGTTATTATTATTGTTATTATTATTAACATCGCAACACGGTTGACCGCGAACCGCCAGTGGCCACCGACCGTAGGCACAACCGCACGAGCCGCGGTTTTCGGCCCCGCCGCCGCCGTCGTCTCATTACGCACCACGCGCGCGACCGGACCGCAGCGCGTTCGACGCCAGCAAGACAGCCAGTCACACCGTACACGACCGTCGGACAGGCCCGTCGTCGGACGTCACCGTTCGTGCTGTCCAACCGGAACCGAACCGTAAACACCGCCGCACAACACATATAAATACCGTTGCGATTGCTGTATTGTATCCAATTATCATCTATTCTCCGACACCATCATGACTGCCGCCGCTGCCGCCGCCGCCGAAGTCGAAGCACAGTCGACCGAGTACTGGGTGTTCGGGTACGGGTCGCTGTGCTGGAACCCGGGTTTCGAGTACACGGACTCTATCATCGGTTACGTGCAGGGTTTCTCCAGAAAGTTTTGGCAGGGAAATGTGGCGCACAGGGGCACCAAGGAAAAAGTAAGCGTTCAGTTTTTTTAATCTCTAGTTTATTATTATACTATATTAGATTCGACCGTACAACAATACTATGGTTCTTCGAATCCCGCGTGTAAGGATACGGTCAATACGAATAGCCCGTCCGGCTTAGCGGCGCGCACGTGTCGTCTACCGTCGCGTGTTATTTTGTAAACACATTCACTCCAGCGCCGCCGCCGACAGCTGATGCAATCTTTCCAACGATTTCGTTCTGTTCTTTTATTTCGTTTACTGGGAACCACTGACGATTCACACGCTTTTTATCGTTGCCGTCCCGCGTAAACGCATCGCGTCCTCGGCTACGGAACCCCTCGAAATCCTACCGTTTTTTTTTTTTTTTTTTTTTATTTGTTTTTTTACACGCCGTATACGCGTCACGATTCACAAAATAATAACATTGATAATATTTCGCAGATACCGCGATCGAGATCGATTCCCATCTCGCGTCGGCGAATAAAGTTTCTCGTATCCATAAACGGCCACCTGTTTCCTCCTCCCTCCCACTTACCCCGTTCGTAATATTCGAGTAGGTTATTATCGTTTATATACTGCCGTTGTATTAAGGTTTTTTTATTTTATATATATATAGGTAAGTAGCCGAGAATTTTAGTATATAGGCAAAGAACCGCCGCGAAGATAGACTCGTATGCATTTCTCGTCCGGGGGTTCTCAAAACATGTCGTGATATATTTTCGAGAAACGTACATCAATAATCGGGTGTCGATTGATATTCGAACGGATATACCTAAATTGTCGACTCCTATAAATATTGTTTTTTTATTATATAGTCTAGTAGCTAAACAATATTGCGGTTATATTTTGGTAAACTAGTAAATTAAATATATTTGGGTCGTGATTTTAATTAAAACTCAAAATCTGTTTTTGGAACTTCCATAGTTTTTTCTTTTTATCTAAAGTATCATATTATAGTAATCTTAAAAAACACTTTTATCGTGTATACCGGCTCATAAACATTATAACCGTGACGTTCTCACGGGGGGATGATAAGGGTCAGCCTACCTTTTGTTTTTTTTTGCAATAAATTGTTACATACGATACAAAATTTGAAATATCAAGTGTTTAACACGTCACATTATCAATATTTGTTCGCTTGATATTAATGTTATACAATAATTGTATAATATAGTCGCTGTACCTATATATTAGTTATGATTTTTTCAACAAATAATCATGTCACCAACTAAAGAAAGGTACGGGTTACGCCACAACATGATATCAATCGATCTATGGGTATACATTGTTTTAAAACCACATTATTATTTTAATCATCGCGCTATTTTTTCGATTATTTTGAGATTAGTGTAGACTATTTCTTACTTACTTACTCATCGGGTATATTGGCTACTTAAATTTAAAAATACAACGTTTGTATAAACTTCCATTTGTTTGTAAAATTTGTTCACGGGGCGATCGATTTTGTATGTTGTTTTAGTTTAACGAAAATGCACTGGCGCAAAAGATGTTTTTCCTACCTATATAACATATTTTCCGGGTCCTAGTTTAATAAATTGATATTCGGCGCAATTTACTAAACCATTTCTTTCGTCTGTTTGCCATTTGTTATTTTTGTTGTGTAGCCAGACTTTATTTTTTTGATACAGCCATATTATTATAACGATAAAGCGATCGGGTTTGGTAAACTAATCGATAATTCTCTTATTTCGTCACGTTGTCGTCGGACGACGATTCCGCCAAAACTGGTTTCATTGTTTACGTTAATTTTTCGGACATTTTTTTTTGTTTTTTGTCGCTTGTCGTAAACTATACAGATTCTCACGCGATATAAACAAAGATGTAACAAAGATGTAGTTGGAACTACGCAGTTGGCGATTTTTACATGCACATAATGTACGCACGGCGACATAGTTCAACGAATGCAAATTTTATTTTCGAATCTCCAACCAGATTTTTGCACAATTTTTATAATTCTAACTCGTCGTTCGCGCGTTTAAAGTATAAGTACGTAATAATAATGAAAATATAGTGGCACTTGATGTTACTATTTATAGGTGGTCATAGTGCCTTTCACTCGATCCTATACTCGTAAACGTAAATTAATGTGTCACAACAAAAACCCGTGCAAAAATGTCCTTTGTAAAATGAAAATTAAAAAAAACAATAAGGTCGTTAATTATTATAACGCACGTGTTTATCTAAAATATCGATTGACGATTGTCGAAGCACACAAACGAGACTAATTCGTAACAATAATGTAGACTCGTGAAAAATTAACGCTATACCCGGGGCTATACCTATCATGAGAGTTTTTTTTTTTTGCTATTTACATACATATATCCATATATACTTATATTTGAATACGTTTATGTGCGTTAAACTGGTTAATATTACTGCTCTATATAGATTATTATATTTCGTATCATTAACGATTTTGATAAGCCCTTAGGCCGCGGAATTTCGGACAGACAACTGACAGGTGTAGGTTACAGAGAAAAAAAAACAAAAACAGAAAAAATATTACGACCTCGAAAATTGTATGCTATCCTACAGTGAAATGTGTCGGGTGTATGCATATGCGTTTGTGTTGTTATTATTACGATATCTGTATCGATAATCGTTAGACATATTATAATACACTAATTAATATGATCGCTACTGTTCGGGTAACATAACAGTCCGAACGTAAAGAATTACTACAGATTAATATTATTATTATTATTATTATGTGTGCGATAAAATTCGTTTTGTGGAACATTGTTTAAAACATTTTTCGTGTAAGGCCCAGCCACGTTGTTTATACTTTTAAAACCATCACTACCCTCTTATGAACAAATATGTAAATATAATATTGTTTTTGTAATTATTTAAAACTCTAATACGGTTCTACAGTGTCACATCTCTAACTATCCACGAGGCGCACCAATTCTATAAAAGACTTTTAGATGAACAATAATGTATAAATTAAATTAAAAATTATCCTAATAACTACACTCATAAATTATTTTGTACTCTTATAGTTATACTTTTTTAAACACGTAAAAATACATAATTTTCGTTAAAAAAATAAATGCAATACGTATATCTTCATGGTTTAATAAAATTATATAACAAATTCGTGTATAACTTTTTCGATAAAACTTGAATGTTACCAAAATAACAAATTACAATTAAAACTATATTTATTAAAAGAAATAACTAAGTTATTTTTTAAAATTTTGTTGTAATTTTAACTACAGTTAAGTTAAAAATATTCTCAAAAGAAAAAATTTTTAACTATTTTACTTAAGTTACTAGCCAGCATTGTAATTGTGTTGTGCATTAAACTTGTAAAATTAATTATGATTATTTTATAGTTACAACTATACTTAAATAATTTTTGGAATAGAAATTAATCGACGAAATCACATATAGGTAAATAGATAAATAAACAAATCTCATAAACTCATACATAATGGTACGATTATATTTGTGTGACGAGCCATTCGTTTGTATATATATATATGTATATTATAATTAATTCCAACAGTTAAAATGATAAAAACGTACAAATGAATAGCTGCGGTGGCAGCTATTTGTAAACGATAACAGTATGCTGCAGGTATTAGAAAATTCGTATAAAAAAAAATTTAAAAAAATTAACGTTTCCGTTAATTTTTTTTCATCGCACATTATGAAATAATTGTATTCTTCCGATGATATAGGATTAAATATCACCCGACTATGTTAATTTAAGCATTTATAGACTATATTTGAATAATTTTGCTTATTTTAAAATTTAAATAAGTTGGTACCTATTTAAATGTAGGTACCGCACCTACGAATTATTTACTTATTTACTATTTAAACGATTTGTCATTTATTATAAATTATAACGTTTGATACCCGTATAAATANTGCGATTATTGATTGAATTGTTCTGAGGTGGCGTACACGGTACTCAAAAGGTTATCAAAAATGTCTAAATTCTAATTTTTTTTGTAAATTTAATGTTTTATTATGTATTATTGAAGTGCAACATATTTAACATAAAACCCACTTTAAGATAATCATTCACATTTTTAAAACAAAATAAATCGTATATAGAAAGCTATTATTATAGTATATGTTTATTTTCTAAAACAGCTAGTTACATTTAAGTATTGAAAAAAAAAAATTTTTGTAGTTAATAAAAATATCACGAGTATAATATAAACCTACATTCTAAATAAATCGAATAAAACAAGAGACAAAAAAAAAGACTAAAAATATTTTGCAGAATTGTATATAATAATATATATATTGACTTGTTTCCATAAACGCCGTATAATGTAGACATGATGTAGTCGATGAAGAATATGAGTACCTACATATAGAAAACAAAGGAAATTTCCATACTTTGTGTCGTACAACATTTTTTAATTTTTTTTTTTTTTAAGAAATATATGTTGAAGACACACCTCTACAGCGTAACAGCTATACTGCGATATTTAACATATTTTTTAAAATCCCTGCTTTTTTCAACTTTATCGATTCGAAAATTATACGAGTAAAAACTCAAACTAATAAAAATTAATAATGAATTATACAATAAAATTATCTAAATGATTTTACAGAACGCCCAATTTGTATATCATAACTAACCCTGTGAAATCTGCAAATCGATTTCCGAATAAATACAATTTATTTATTTTTCCGTAGTCTCATATATGTGAAAACACAAAAGGTCGATTTAAATGTAGGTAATATTTTACTAAAAATTATAATATGTATAGCGTTTGTGTCCTCGAAATTCTATATTAAGTTGTACATATATAGGTATGTACGTGTTTATTAAAAGTTCAAATAAATATTCAAATATGCAATTACAAAATAGCTTTTATAATCGCGAATAACTTCTTTTTTAAAAATAAAAAAACTGGTTATCATAATGCACACGCGTGAAAAACAAGGTATTATATCGAAGCGTTTGTTTGAGTTCATTAGTGTTAAAAAAACAAACAAATATTTAATAAAATTTCATCAGAAACGGGATGATTTCACTTAGAAGAGGATTACTGCACTCCCAAAAAATATAAGAGGTTATAGTGTAAATATTCATCCCCTACCCTACCCCTACCATTAGCCGCCATTTGATTTTCGATCTTGTAATTCGAGTAACGGTTTCTATATTCTGGCTCGCGTACCCAATTGGTAACGAATTTCAAAGAAAAATGCAATGCTAATGCACCACCAATATGATTGACAAAAAATATTGAATCGTTAAAACAAATGAAAAAGAGCTGGAACTGGGGATGGGAGCGGCCACTGTTGTAGATGAGAAGTTGGGAAGGTAGGATACATAAGGTTATTTCATTTATACTTGTAAGCAACGGTAAACCATTGCTTGACGAAAGACAACTTCGAGCGCAGTTCGGTAATACATAATTCGAAGTGCCGTATTTTTTTTTCCTATTTTCGTTTAAATTTGATTTTAAAACGCTTATAAAAAAAAAAAAAAGTCTTCCGGTGATTTTGGAAATTTTACCACCTCAAGGTAAATCCAATATAAGTATTATTACCAAGTTTCAAGTCTACATGTATTTATAACCGAATTACAGCAAAAAACTCCCAAAAATTAAAATTCCTTAAAAGCTCAAAATTGGCAAAAGTTTTGACAATGATACTATAAGAAAGTAAATCAAAAAAGGAAAAAAAAAGTGTCTTGTAATTTTTCAATTAAATCGTTTTCTCTGGTAGAAAACGTCGTCCGGGTTTTTATAAAATAATAAAATCGTGAAATTGTACGTTTTCCTACGTTTTTCCCTCTTGAGTGTTTTTATTTAATTGTCCTCGAAAATCAAAAATTACCTATTTAAAATCTAATATAGACAACTTGAGCTTCCAGAAAATATGCTACACGTTAAAATCAGAGTAAGTTTACTAGAATAAAACGTGTCCACAGACTAGAAGAAAAAAATAAAAATAAAAAAAAATCTTAGTGAAACCAATAGCTCCCTCACTACGAATGAAATATAGAACTACTAAATTTCTATCATTTCTGTTACCTATAATATACAGGGTGATTTTTTTTTTTTATCATGAACCAGAAATTGTTTCAGAGGATTTTAAGTGAATTTGATTTCTGTTTTTCCTCATCAATATGGAATTGTTTAAACTTTTTTTTGAAAAATATTTTAAATTGCCTATCTATATTACCCTATATTACTCTATATTACCCTTCTCTACTTCTCTGATCTAAATTTTAAACTGTTTTAACTCATAAACGGTAAATCTGATACTTGTGTTATGCCTACTTGTTTATGATATATGGAATAAGGGTGAAAATTAAAATAGTTTTAAAACAAAGATTAAAAGATTCCATATTGATAAGAAAACCAGAAATCAAATTCACTTAAAATCTTTAGAGATAATATGGTTCATGATAAAAAAAAATCACCCTTTATAGTGTATACTTGAATATTGAGATATATTTTGAAATTATTTTCCGTGCGATTGACAAATTCATTATTTCATATGTATTTTACCGGAACACGTTTCCTCTGAGGCTAACATATTATTACAGCCTATGCGGGTATAAAACAATAATTATATAATGTTATAAATGAACAAATATTTGGGGCTCCGTACCTATACTCATATTGTAATACACCGGTTGCATATTGTACGTGCAACAACCGTGTGTAGAAAAATAATACTATCTCACAGATACAGTAAACAATAATACAATATTATTATCCTTGTACCAATATATTCGTCATGGTGAATTAAAATTATAATCCAATACGATACGTTGTTTTCACATTTTGATATACCGTATATTTTGAAGGAAAAAGAAAAGAAAAGAAAAGTGAAATAGTCATGACTATAAAACATTTTATCATCTTCCGTTGATTGTTATTACGATGTTATAATAATACAAGTACAGATAAGTAGCGAAATTATTATTGGACACATCCTTTTCGAACAAAATTGTGGACGTTTTATTTTTCAGGTCGAACCATAAGGTTAAGTTAGGTTACAATGAGTTAGGTATGAAAACTACAAAAATATTATTTCCTTTATCATTTTTATAATTTGCATAATGGGGCCTGGCACCGGTTTTCCAAATTTTTTATAATTTTGTTAAATTGGTTTTAACATTTTAATAACCCGTTTAAAAATAAGCCGATTTTTCATTGATCTACTACTACACGATACTAATTTTAGAGGAAGGGCTAAAGCTTTTGTTTAAACGAAAACGATGCATTATCAATATATTATTTTTCTATGTTTTTTGTATTAATTGATAAAAAATTATATTCTATAGACCGCATTGAACCGATTTTCCGTTTGATTTCAAATAACAATTTTTATAAAAACATTGTTTGCATCTTCTTTCTAACACACAAAATATAAGAGTTTTTCCTTTCATGTCTTGGTGCCAAAACACATGCTGACACCGAGCATACTTTTAATAGTAATTTATTATCATACCCTTGTTATAACATTTTCAAAATGTATCATTATATTATAATGCATAAATAATAGTGTTACATCTTATATACTACGTCGTATCCGTTTACTACGTATATAGAGCGAAACGTACGAGTGCAGTTATAATTTGCGAACTTTTTATTTTGGACTAAACAATAATATTATATAGAGTTCATAAAACTTACAGTTTTCAATAGATATTCAATATGCGTCATAACTCATAATTATCGCATCGTTTTTATAATATATTATAGTTGTACAAATTATTTTAGTTTATATAAGAAATCAAATTGGGTGATTTATTATTAACGATCGTATAATCGACTATACAGGGTAATCAATCCAGCATAAAACACTCATATATTTTTTATAGAACATTTAAGAAATAAGAAGCTCTACAATTTTACATTTGTCTTATTTTTGTCATCCTTATTTTGGTTGTAAAATAACTACGTCCTTTTGATTTTTTAATGGTCATCTATAATAAAGGTTTATAAATACATGGAGTATTAGTTGAAATAAATTTTGGTGTTGATATTTTTGATTTCCGTCAATCCGTTAATGAGATTTGTACTTTTAAGTTTGGGTCGAAGGAGAGTAATAGAGCATCATTTGTGGGGTGGCACGTTGCACGGCGTTTTAATCATGCAAAAAAATAATATAAATGTAAAATTGTAGAACTTCTTGTTTCTTGAAAGTTCTATGAAACCAATTACAAAAAAAAGTTAACACATTCCGAGATAATAAATACCTTACTCTAGATTGGTTACCTGTATATTATATCAGTTGATTTAAATAATAATATATTATACATTGTACACGATAATAATAATATCGGTGTTAGGACTGTAAAACAGCCGAGTTACCTATATATTATTGTGACAGACGAATGCCGATTAACATGAGTATACCTAATGTGAAGGTGAAACAAATGTATTAAACGAAAAAAATAAAGAGAAAGATGAAGATTGAATAGAATGCGATCTTCTTCGCTGTAGGAATCTATTGTTTGAGGGATTTTTTTTTTATTTCCTTACATCTGGGAATTGTGTGAACTACACGGACATCACAATATGGTCTTCTTAGACATTATATTATTTTGTTGAACATCGCTGTTATAAACCATAGTATATAACTGAATCTAATATACAAAGCCGTTCGGCAAAACGCTTTTATTTATATCGTATGTACAGCTCTTATATATAGACCCTCCACTAATATCGAAAGTGTACGAGTATATTATATTATAAATATATAATATAACCTAACCTCCCAATCACATTATTTTATTTTCGTTCTCTAATATTGTTATTATTAGAGCTGTAAATTTGTAGGAAAGTAAATTTTTGTTTGTCGGTGATTAAGAACCTTAGTAACTTTATAAGTACATAATTTGAATTATGAAACAACAAATACATTTGTGAAACTTTTATTTTGCATTTTTTGAAGTTTTTAACTTTTTAGTTCATTTTCCGGTATTTTAAATTAAATTCAGTCAGTTAACATCTTTGAAAACTTTTTCTTTTTGTTTTTCACAGGTTGTATATATATATCAAATTTATATTTTATAAAATTTTAAGTTTGTTTTATTATTTTAACAAAATAAATAGGTAAATAAAAAAGAATTTAAAAAACGTTTCATGAATCAAAATTCATATTCAATCAACATTTTTATAATTTGTTTTATTAAATAATTACATTTTTATGGATATAATATACTTAAATTAATATAAATATACAAATTAAATTAAAAACAATTTTAAGTGCATTTTATATTAAATTTATTGGCATTTTAGTGCATTTGTTAAGGTTTTTTAAAGCATTAAATTTACAGCCCTAGTTATTATTGTTATTATTTTTTGTTGTTATTTATGAAAATTTAAACGAAAACACGTGTTTGATTAACATAGGTAAATGTTGTTTTTTTCAGCCTGGACGCGTGGCCACGTTAATCGAAGACCCTCAGGTAACCAAATTTTAAGTTTTTTACACTATGATACATACATTATTTGTATTATTTTATACACATCACTGCAATGATAATATAACACCTACCAAAATGAAACTAATTTCCTTTAACCACATTCCGTTTATAGTAAACATTGAAAGAACACATGACCTTCATAATATAGGTACATATTATCATATAGTGCATGCATATTATATATAGTGAGTGATGATGATATTATTTTGTGTATATATTACATTCTGTATAATATACTATATATACGTAGACAGTGGTTAGCCGGGGGGGAGATCGTGGATGTTATAACGCCACTCATTGCTGTTTTTAGATTTAAGTAAAGTTAAGAAAGTTGTAGACCACTAAACTCCCCTAAATCTCCCTACCCTCCTCCATTAATAAACTCTGGCTATGCCAATGAATACAGAATGATTCACTAAGCACCACTATCATTTTTTTTTCGTTAAATTTTACATATATACAAATTCTGATTTTTGGAACTTTTAAGTAATAAATAAAAGGGGTATTACTTTGAATAAATTTTGGTGACAACATTTTTGATTTCCGTCTACTCATTGACGGGATATTTCACTTTTAAGTTTAGGTAAGAAGAGAGTAATGGAGCACTAATAAAACGTCGTGCGCCGTGCCGCCAAATGCCGCGCCACACTAATGATACTCCACCACTCTCTCCCTACTTAAACTTCAAAGTGAAATGTCTCATCAACGAGTTGACAAAATCCGAAAATGTATTTAATGTAACACTCCATCTATTTATGGAATTTTTAATGCAGATTATCATTTGAAAAACCAAAGTTGGTGTCGCCAGAAATCGGAATTTGAACAATTTGAATATATGCAAAATTTAACAAAAAAAATGGGGTGAGCACGCTTAATGAATCCCCTTGTTTATATGTGATTATCTACGAAAAAAATGTGAAACTACGAATATATATTGTTACGATTGTTGGAACGATTCCATATGTACAGGTAACGTCTGTAATAAACCAAAATTGTATTTTTACTCGAAATCTTCGTACAAAATAATCACGTTGGTTCGGGATAAGAGAATCATCACTTGTGTATATATACATTTATATTTATATGTATATACGTATATTAAATCAATTACCTATACGTTTACAAACCATAAAAATAACTAACGAAAAGTTCATTCAAGTTTTAATAATGAATAGCGTTTTATATTATAATATTATGTGCACGCTGTTGAATGGATTTAATCAAGAATACAATTTTAAAATATCAGCACTATATTATAATATTATACCTATAGTAAAACTATAATAGGTGTAAGTAACGTTTTTTCTTTATCGATTATTCGTACGAATAACAAGAGATTTCCATAAATTAGCAATATCTACGTAATACCTATGAGCATGCGGACTAAATAATGGCCATACACGCACGTCACTGATAACAACAGCATTTATAATACGAGCTAAAAAAATAATAATTGCTTTTGAAATTTATAATACAAATTTATCATAATTAACTGTCTTAAATAATATATTGTTTGCTTAACAATAATTGTGTACATACAATCGCACCACCCAAACCAATAAAATTATTGTAGCCAGTTATATATTACAAGATGTCGGAGTTTGATTAGTTAAAGTCATACGTTTATAACAATTATAACTCTACTAGCTATCCCGCCTGGCTTTACCCATGCAATAAATGCTTATCTTTATGTTAGGTTAGGTTACTACAGGCAAATAAAAACATATAATCATCGTTTTCCTTCCAATTTTAACCCAGGTTTAGAACTCGCAGCAAGTTTTTCTTGCTGACACGGTTAAAAACTTTTTAGCTTTTTACTACTAGTTGCGCAGTGATGGTCTAATCGTCATTATGTTAGATCTACTACTTCCACTAATCAGATTGACAATTTCAATAGTTTAAAACATTCTACGGTCAAGCTAATTATTTTGCGAAAAATCACGTAAAAATTGGTCTAGTAGTTTCAGAGAACATGAGTGACGAAAATTTCTATTTTTGCATTTATTATATACATAGATCGTTTTATTTTTATATAATTAATGTCTTTTGCCTAAATTTTACGAAATCAAATTTAAAAAATAAAGATATATTTTGTTCTACATGATTAAAATACTATCAACTCAATGTAGAAACCGTAACAAAGAACAAACAATAAAAAATCCACATTGGCAAGCTTCTTATACTCGTCGACTATATATAGTTTTATTTGTACTTGACATTTTTTTTTTTGGTTAATAAGTCCGCATCCACGTCCATATGTGTACAGTAATATTTGTGTTTCTATACAAATCATAGATAATAATGTTATTGACAAAGCTGGGCAAGTTAAGCAATTTGTTTTAATCATAGTGTAATGTAAGTTATTCTTAAAAAAAAAACGTATACAAGTTAAAGTTCGTTTTAAAATATAAATGAATTTATAAACATCTTCCTACTAATCTACCAATTTTCAGGAAATTTCAATTCAAGTTGCTTTTATTTTTAAAATCACCTTTAACAGTTAGTGTAGGTAACTCAAATTAATTTATAATTATATTTTTAAATTAACTTAAAGTTATTTTCCAATGTTATAATTTTGTTTTGGTTTTTTTAAATTTTTAAGTTAAAGTTATAATGTCGAAATAAATGTATATCTTAACATTCAACTCTTTAACTAGTTACCGCCATATTTGATTATTTTGATTATAAAATTGCATTGCGTATAAATATAATGTATGTATGTATAGAGCCACCTACTTTTATTGCACTCATACTAATATGTAATTGTTATTCATATCTCATAATATATCAGTATATAACGTCCAAAATCATAATTCTACTACTGATGCAATTTTATTTTTATTATGATATGATATTAGAAATGAATCGCTACGTACACAATAGACATAGTATATTATATTTATTTATATCCTTGATGGTTCCTGTTTCGGTATGGCCATATAAGAATTCCGTTTGTATTGAAATAAAGCATACGTTACACTTTGGATCCTAAACTTAGCGGTGCAACTTTGATGAGCGGATTTTTTTCTGCATACAAACAACTTTTCTACCGGAAATCTTGTTCCGATAATCAACTGTAGCATATTTTTTAAAAACGAATTTTATCTAGTTGGTGTATTTATGAGGTCTTATTTTTTATTTTCCAAATAGTTTTTTAATAGTTGGGAAAAGTAGGGAAAACCACAAAATAACCGTTTTCGTTATTTTAGATTTGGAGTGGAGCAAGAGATCTATTGGATTTACTACAATATGTTTTTTTTTCTGTCTGTAAACAACTTTTCGAACAGAAAACTTGCTCCAATCGAACAATTACAAAAGACCTTTTTGGTTGCATTTTAGATCTTGTTGGTGCGTTAGAGATGTCATTTTTTGATTTTCCAAAGAGTTTTCAAAATAATTGGGAATAACCGGAAAAATAATTATAGGAAAATTGGCAAATATTTACAGCGGGGGATCACCGATTTCAGTGAATATAATATTATGTTTTTATACGTATTCGCAAGTACTTACGCGTATTTATTCTCTTAGTACCAATTACCTTTTCATTAATTTATTAATTTCTAATAGTTAAACGCTTTCCTAATAAGAAATAATAGCGTATTCTTTACAAGACTGTTAGGTATATGATGGTATACCGGAATGGAACGATTGGAGCTTTTTACTACTTCTATAACGGAGTAAACGAAAACTAAAAAACGAAAATATAAGAAACGTGGGTATTATTGTAATGGGTAGTAGGTATATATTAAGTGCCTAATGTAAACAATGTACTATAATATTTTATACGGGTGTAGATTATAAAAAATATAATTGTCAGTAGAAAACGTGTAAAACAAATTTTGAATTGTTTTTATGGGCACTTCGTGAATCAAAGTATAGGTTTTTATTGTATTATAGTTGTTATAAGACAGTAGCGATTATAAATCAAAACTCCGAGAGCGGGTTGCGACCTTGGGAGGTCTTTAAAAAATATAATAACAGGCATTACTATAAGAACAAAAGGTCCCCTCTGAAATTCAAAATATTATTATTACCTACTACCGTTATTTCCGAATTGAAATCATACTTCGTGAATCGATGGTTATTATAGATTACTTTGTTTTTTTTTTTTTTTTAGAAACTCAAATTATGGCTGTAATTTTTATATTAGGGCGGTTGGTGGGAAACAGTATTTGTGTATCTGTATGTTATATATTTTTTTTTTAATGAAATATCTCCATGCCGCAATAGTTATAATTTCGTCATTGGAAAGCTGTGTAATATATAATTATTATTTTTTAGATTTATTTAAAATCAGCACAATTTACGAGTATATAATTTTTTTACACAACTAAGTATGTTGGTATATGAGCGTTATAGTTTCGATTTTTTTTTATCTAATCATTACGACTGAATTTTAAATGTTTCGACAATCGTATAAATGTAAAAAACGAACTGTGTACAATATTTCAAGATATAAACTGTAGTGTACACTAATGTAATAATCACTAGCTATTGCGCTTTTAGGCAGTATTGCGAATTATTTACACTAGACTATAGTAATTCCTATACTATAAAAAAAAACCAATTCTGCGGGTTCAATCTCAGTAATAAAAATCATAATATTATTTTCAAACCACAGTTTTACTCGTCAGCGTCCATATACTAACGATCATACGTTTTTACCTTAACCATATAGCACCCAGCCCGGACTTTTTACTTTTTTGTCCATGTTTTATTATCACAATGATCGGTTATTATCGGTAGATAACTGTGCTACCGGAACATTTTTATCTAGATTCAGTAAATATAATCAAATTTAATTTCAATACAATTTCACATGAAATATCTAAAATCTTCACCGCGAATTTTAATAAAAAAAAATAATAATAACAAATAAATGAACCTTATACGTATTATACACTTTTATCTGATGAACGTGAGAGGGTGAAACCCTGAAACGACGTGGTTGTTCTGGTTATAAGTGATTGCAGTGTACACGTGTTTCTACTAATATTAATGACGTATATATCGCGTGTGAACCGAGAAAATTGTATGTGATTTTTTATAGGAATAAAGAATTTTTAGCTATTACGAAATATAGCTATTTAATACAGGGTGATTCTTTTATCGTTGAACACACGGAAAATTAAAAAAATATTGACTTTTTAAAGCACTGTTAAAACGCCGCGCGCCGTGCCGCCTCACCAAAGATGATTCACTACTCTTCACCATTCCTACCCAAACTTAAAAGTGGGACGAGATATTTCATCTCGTTAACGGGTGTCGGAAATCAAAAATATCAATACTAATATTTCTTTAAACTGACATGCCATCTATATTTATTGAATTTATAATATAGGATACTATTCAAAAATAGACAGTCGTTTTACAGATACAAATAAGGGTGACAAATAAAACATGGTGACATTTTAGAGCTGCTTGTTTCTTTAATTGCTTCGAATTGTATCAAACCAATAGAATATTGAAAAGTCAATACTTTTTGAAATAATGAGTGTCCAACGATGAATAAGAATCGCTCAGTATAAATGCGCATATTAAATACCATTCTGTTTTCCTTTTTACTGTATGATCATTTTTTACAAGGCAATTTTTAACCAAACGTCCAAAATTTAAGCATGAGCATCACAATTTATGACTTTCATACCTATTATGAACTGCGTAATATTATCATTATTAAAACCCGCTCCGGAATATAATTTGGAAAAAAAAACAGCGCGACGACGACAGTCGGATGAGTCTCAGGTTTATAACCTAATATAATTTAATCAATAACCAGTTGTATTGTATTGTATATGTTTGCAGTTTAGATGATAGTTGAAGAACGATTCCGTATAAGTTACTATTCCGTAAACACCGTAAACACCTTTTTTTTTTTTTTATCTCCGAGTGTCTTTTATAATTCGGCACAGTCATGATGATTGCTTATTCAACACAATATATATTTTGTTTTCATAATCAAAAGGAAGGCCCTAAAAATTTGAGCTCCTTGTGTCATGTGCACATGCGTAAATCAGTGGCCTGGCCACATCTACTAACACGTCTATATAAATGTACACGTATTCCAGTATAGGTGAGCTCCAGATCCGCGTGGGCCCAGGACAAATTTACTACAACGTTTCAATCATTACTGATTTACGAGTAGAATATTCTGGACGCTCATTCTTTATTAACGTGATTGCCTGCACCGACAAAATGTACATTGAACATTTATGTAAACAAATCTCATATGTTAAATATGGATAATTTTAATACGATTTTTTAATAAAAATATAAAACATAGGTAATAATAAAAATAATTTAACCTAATTCCAATACAAATATCCTGGAGAAAACAATTAATATTTTTAATATAGGTATGCAGCTAATTCTGAAAACTGTGTGCGTATTAGATCAGCTTGTTATAACCTATATTATTATTAAATTTGTTCAAACGAGCGGAATAGTACAGCCATAAAAGGGACACAAACGTACGAAATCGTATATTTACGTAGGTAGATGATAAACCGAAGACGCCCGAGATTTTATTTCTTATCGCGATAATATTATTATAACAATATATAAGTATATCCAACATATCAATCTGTATAGCAATAAAACATTTTTTTTATAATACCTACTGCAGTCACACGCCGCGTTTGCTATGTATAAACTGCAGTCTACAGACGATTGCGGTGGCGACGGACGTATTACGACGAGTAGATTATAATAATATAATGTACGGTGCAAAGGTTAAATATTTCGTTTTGAAAAAAAAAAAATAAAAAAATCACTCACTCAATGAACTATTTATATTAACCAAACCAAAATGTGTACGTATATACGTATCATTTTTTATTACCGGTTTTCGTCCTTGGCCGTCGTGCCCGAGACTCCTCCGATTCTTGTATAATACGCAGTCGACCACTTCACATTTTCGACCCCCTCGTCGTCGTCTTATATACAAGACGATCGACAAAACATAAGACTCGTCATCTCGGATTATCCTTAACTTTTTTTTTGAAAAATCAAAAATAAATGGCGGTTTCGCCTCCAGCGAAATAACGGTTGTAAAAAAAACAGTTTTTAAATTTTCTGAAAATTAAATTTCGAAATCAAGTCAAATACTTTCCGAGTGTATTATACGTCTCGTCAATCACCCTGTATAGCGATATAAATTATAAAATGTCAATTATATTTTGTTATAGTAGACCTTATACGCACGGTAACTCTGATTTTTCGGTCACTACTGTTTTGAACGAAGACAGCCAGCTATATTATAACTCGGCGGAGGTCTGTTTTCTTCGTTGTTATGATAATACGGTTCTCGCGTTCGCGAAGCACTTATCAATTAATGTTTTTCCTTTTTTCGTCCGTCGCTGTAGATACATGTACGCCTTTCACCACGGCCTCCGTCGAAATAGTGGTTTTTTTTTTTAACAACCCTTATAATGTTAACGGATTTTTTGTCGTCAAATTTTTCCCCGAAATAAAGCCTATATTTCACTCTATTACGTCGGTCGGGTTCAATATGAATCGCACCATGTCCATTGCGGGAAAAGGGTGATTTGTTTAGCTTTGCACACGACCTATAACAGAACCCCCCCTCCCGAATGAAGCCAAGTGGATTAAATTTAGTAAACGTATAACAATAAAGTACCAATGACGTACCCTTTAGGTAGGTTTCGACTTTCAAACGCCACTCTTCGTACCATTTTTACGACAGAGCCTATTTTTGTGTTAATACCAAATCTATTGTGTGCAGTACGAAATTATAAAATGTATAATTTTATATAAAAATATTTCTAAACTATGTTTTGTTGTTATAATATTTTTTAGTTATCTAACAAATTTAGAATAAGTATATCAAAGAGATTTGATCAAATACAAAGTATTTTAAAACTGGTTATTTATTATTATGATGTTTCAAAACTTATTATCTTAATGCTTGTTATAATTAGTTTACTGACTTTAAATTAGGAATTAAACCCAGAGGAACGTTATTTAAACAAATTTGTTGAAAGAATAATGTAAAAATTAAATATAAACTAGTTGATAGTATGTAATATTTTTTTTTTTAAATTTATTTCTTACATTGTCCATACATTTCTCCTTGATAAAGTTTAAACCTAGAAATATTTGTTTAAAAAAAATTGTAAGCAACTTTAAATGGTAGAAAAATTAGTGAAATAACTGTATTTAAGGGTATGGAGGCAAATTTTATTTTGTGTCCATGAAATTATAGTCTAAACTAAATACATGTCATATGAAATATTACAAAAAATAGGCCCTGTTTTACGACCGACTTTCGCCATCTTTTAGACATGTAATATACCTAATTATTGTATAATATCGTAGTGTACGGTTATTTATTGTTACATAAAGAATGTTTTCTAAACAACAAAATAAGTGTATAAGTGGGGGGGGGAGATTTAACTCTAATGACGAAACACCACCGCTCGCGGGTGTTTTTAATTTTTAGCAACGATTTTTGGGCTGCTACAGTACGTAATTTATAAATAGGTTTGCCTATCGGGTTAACTGTTGCAGTTTTATAGGTATTAGGGAAATATTAGGGATATGAAAAAAAAAATTAATTAAAAATTTGTTGTGCACACAACGGGAGTTTTTCGGTGTATTGCGACACGCTTATACGTTTATAGTGGATACGCGAGACACTGACAGACCGGAAATTATATTTAAAAAACAACAAAAACCTGTCTATAGTTGTGTAACAACAACGCTACGTATATTATTATTATAATAATAAATTGTTGTTGTTGTTTTTATTTCAAATTTTAATAATAGTATATGTTTCGGAGGGGTACGTCACTATATAATAAACGCTACAGTGATGGGGGGTTCTATTATATGCCATCCGTGAGGGAATACGGTGGGCAGATGCGGCCCACGCCGAATGTTTCGAAAACCCTTACACTGGTATATGTAATAAAACAAAATCAATAATTCGATTATTGTATTTATTGATTTTCTTTATTTCCCCCCCCCCCCAGCGATTAATAAAATAAATCTACGATCACCGATTGTGTTCGTCCCCGCGGGGGTGGTTATACTGCGGTTCTCCTCTACGTTATAATAATGTAAAATTCTTGATCGTTTCGAAAATGATACACTCTGAACCACCTCAGTCTACAGTAATATTCCAGTACTACGCGATCGACTTGATACATAGCTCGTGTATACCAATACACGTAAGCCAATATTAACTGTACAAATATAATAAAATAATTTTAAGAAAAGGCCGCATTGCTTTGTTAAATTTTGCTTTGTTGTTTAGTAAAAACACAGAAAGAAATATTCGGTTATACACGAACAAGAATAAGAAAATGTACTTATTAATATACATAATTATAGATACGGAGCTTTTACGAATATTGCAGGTCTGACGATAAATGAATCATTTATTAAACAAACTAATAAGTTCATGTACTTAAGTTAATCCACAAAAAGTAACTTTTTTCAAATAAATTTATTCGTGTTATTAGAAAAAAAAATACTTTGTGTTAATCATTTGTCAGTTTTAGAAAATTGTATTTAAAAGGACTCAAACCGTCAGAGGAGGGGATATTTAAAACTCCTCTTACCGCTTTTGATTTTTAAAATATTTTTAAACGCTTATTTTGACGATTTAAGGGTTTTTTTTTTTTTACGGATTTTAAGTGCATAAACATCTGAGCCCTACTAATAAGGTAGTACGTTTAGAGCCAGGGTAAATCTTATTTTGGGGCCCTTAGTGGTAAAAAAATTAAAAATACCCAATATCTAAGTAGTTATAGAAAAAATTAAAACTTTGCAAACTGTACGTTATAACTATCTACCTAAAATGTATTTATTTCCATTTTGAAATACTGCTGTCCATGTATCACAAATAAATCTTTATTTTTAGAAGTTGATATTTTTTTTTCCATAAATTTCTTAAGCCAAGGGTCAAAAAGTTTCAATTTTTTCATATGGTATTCCGGCATTCGGATGCCCCCCAAACATCTGCTGCCCGGGGCAAGTGCCTATAAAGCCCTCCGTCAAATACGGCCCTGCGTACGCTTATATTAGCAGTTAGTCGAGTTCATTCTCGAATTGATATCCTCGTCCATATATATTTATGTGGTGAAATTATAATTATGATAATATTATATTGTGCGACAAATATAATAAACAGTTGTTTTATTGTTGTTTTACAGGGTTTCGTGTGGGGCAAGGCGTTCCTGTTACCGGACGAGACGGCGTTTAGATACTTGGAGATGCGCGAAGTGTACCTGGGCGGCTACGAGGTGCACAAGGTGGACGTGCTGTCAGACGACATCAGCCGGAGCGTCAACGCTACCATGTACGTGGCCACGCCGAACAATATCCATTGGCTGGGCGAGGTGCCCATTGACCAGTTGGCCACGCAGGTGGCTACGTGCTCCGGGTCGGCCGGCCACAACGCCGAGTACGTGATACTGTTGGCGCGGTGGGAACGCCAATACGCGCCCGACCACCGGATCGACGCCGAACTCGCCGAACTCGAGGGACTGGTCAACGAGCGGCTGCGGGAGAGGGGCCTCCGGCCGGACGACGTGCTTGTCGGCAACAGGCCGACGTTCTCGTCCATGGTGCCGGGCAAGACGTTGAGGTGTCTGAACATATGAAAACGATCGACGCAATACGGTGCAGCAATTGTCGTGCACTCGTATTGCGCACACGCATTGTAAATTTATAATATTATTATAATATATGAATAATCTTCAACGCGCTCGGACCGCGACCTCCGCGGAACTGTAAAACTTTCGCGATAACGCACCCCGACACACAATACAAACAATTTCATATTATTACACGTCGTGTTCGTATACGACTCGTACGTCATAATATACCGGCCGTTATACCGCCGAACCTTATTTCGCCCGTACCTGTTACGCGCGGCGCGGGTATCGCAGTACGTATACACGGATACGCATGCAGCGCTGTATAGTGTACACTTATGTCGATGGTTCAGTTGTCACGGACGATCGGACTGCGGGACCGGGACGCGAGCGAAACGCGAATATCCCCGCAAACGAGCGGATCGCCGCGAGAAAACAATTTGGGACAAAGGACAGAAAAAAAACAAAACCGAACAAATAATCTTTAAAAAAACTACCGCGTACAAAAACGACAGCGTTCAATAATTGACCGAACAATTATTGTTTTCATTACATTATATTTCATAATTATTATTAGATAATATTTTATTATTCGACACGGGGACGTAACATAATCGTATTTACTATTATTATTATTATTATTATTATTGTTGTGAAGGATATTATAGCCGAGCCAACCCATTTATAACCGATTCGGCTTTAAACCGTACTTAGCGAATTTTGTTAACAGGGTACCTATTTTGTATGTATATACAGGTTGTATCAATGCACAAGTATACACGGTTCGTTATATTATTGTACGGATATTGGCTATCTATTTCTTTTTTTACTATTCAGTTTTTATACGATATTAGAGACGGAAACGTACGCCCATTTATTGTTGTCGTTGCTATAATATTTTACTCGTATTTTTTTATTTTTATTTTTTTTTTTTTTTTGTGTTAATATTATAATAGTACGTAGTTTATGAAACTTTTTTTTTCTCGTATACATCGATACGCGTAAATGCGACGAACAGATAAATGTTCATATTATATTATTATTATTGTCGTTATGTGACGATTTTTATAAAATCGTATTCGCGCCGACGACCAGTAGTCTAGCTGGTATACAATATTATAATAATTTATCGCTAAGTATACGTGAGCTATACAATATTCTACATATAAAAACCTACCTAATAATAAAAGCGCATTATTCCGCTCTATATGTCAATATCGAACGGATTGAATTTCGAGTTACGATAGCGTTATATCTGTATTTTTTTATTTTTTTTTTTTGTATAAACAATAAAATACCCATATCATATTAATATCGGCGTAGTTAAAACATAAATTACAATATAAGAGCTCAAATTATTACCTAAAATTACGATTGAATGATCCGCGTGTTACCACGGATGTACACTAATACGAGTATATATTATATATTATAATATTATATGATTATGATTATATTAATTTTCTTTTGTATTATTAACGATTAATGAAATTATTATGTTATTTGTTTTTATACGAGCGTAAACGCGCGCGTGTACATACCGATCACAGAGTATCTCGCGTGGTTTACCAAAAATAAAAACGTTATTTACTACATAATATTTAAAGAATAAAAGAAGTGCGCATCGCGCGCGTGTATATATTTATATATGTATGTGTATTCTTCTTTTTTTTTTATACATATACTTTTTGACTATATTTACAAACGTGTCGAGTGAAAACTTTATATTTAATCGAGTGGAACGGTTCCAAAAGAAAAAAAAAGTATTTTAAACTCACGCCTGTGTGATTTATTTATTTATATATAGGTATAATAATGTAATGACGTAGTAAAAATTAAATAAGTTAAATTTACTTTCGTTGAATAAAATATTTATTTTATTTATGAGTAGGTACAGTATCGGCAATTCGTTTCTATAAGGGGAGGCCGGATAATTTGAAAAACAAATTTCGAGGAGTTGGACAAATAGAAAAATGGTTGAACCTCTACCTATTTGATGTTTCGTGTTTATCATTTAATACCTCCAAACCAAAAATAAATGTATTTACTTCTGTATTAAAAATAAAATTCCTTAAAAGCTCAAAATTGGCAAAAGTTTTGACAATGATACTATAAGAAAGTAAATTAAAAAAGCAAAAAAAAGTGTCTTGTAATTTTTCAATTAAATCTTTTTCTCTGGTAGAAAACGTCGTCCGGGTTTTTATAAAATAATGAAATCGTGAAATTGTACGTTTTCCTACGTTTTTCCCTCTTAAGTGCTTTTATTTAAATGTTCTCGAAAATCAAAAATTACCTATTTAAAGTCTAATATAGACAACTTGAGCTTTCAGAAAATGTGCTACACGTTAAAATCGGAATAAGTTTACTAGGATAAAACGTGTCCACAGACTAGAAGAAAAAAAAAGAAAAAGAAAAAAACATCTTAGTAAAACCTATTGGTTTTTCTAAAACTCGCTACGCTCGGAATCTAAAATGACAAAACGCTACTGGTGATGTCTTCTACAGATGGAAAAACATTAAAAATTGTTTACAAAGAAATATTGAGTAATGAAATCCCATGGGATTAATGCGTTAATAAATATTATAATACAATGATATTATCATATTCAGTTCAAAATATATTTTTGGCTTAAATCACGGCCTAGGGGAGATGTTTCAATACCCGAACACCCACAGGGGTTAAGCGTCTGCAGTAATATACCAGTATCGGTTTGTATTACTTATAGCATTAACTTCAAGGATTATATTATATGAAACGAATTGTTGCCAATATGTTTAGTCGTTACGCTTCAAAGATAAGCCGCGCCTACTTGAGATTAGTATTTAAATCGTTGACCCGAGTATTTGGTATGTACTTGTAACATTCTCCAACTTAATCTTAACAATACAAAAATATAACGTATACATTTTTAAAATTTACGGCTATCGATCTATAACTACGCACCAAAATAGTATAATATACATAAAGAGAATGCATGCATCAAAAGAATATTCCAACATAATTTCATATTTCCTGTCTTTATCACACGTTGTCGGCAGAAAAATGTCAATTATTATTAAATCTAATAACGAATATACACGCATAATGTAATTTATATAGGTACGAGTAATAAATAAAAAATTACTGTATTAGCATTTTTTTTTTTTTCTTAAAATTCCTATGCGTTTTTTCCGATATTTTATACTAATTAAAATATTATTATGCAATAATATTACTTTCAGTTTAAAGTAAAGTATCGAGGTACGTATTATTTTTTCAATGTTATATTTCATTTATAACATTGAAATCGTGTGACTTATAAACATGATTGATGTTATCTTTAAGTGAATTTACTTCCGTCTAATTATTATTACTCGTTCTGACAATATGAAATTACTAATTAGTATGCCTACACTTTTACAACATTTATATAGTTGCCTATCATATAATATATAATATACATCATATGGACAATAATTAATAATCGTATTTCCTATTGTATTAATTACTGTAGGTACCACGGTTTTCAAAATTATTTTTTATAATAAATTGTTTTCAAATCCCGTCAATTGAATATAAAATGTAATTACATTCAGTTACCTATTTACAGGGTGAGTCAAGGGTACTAGACCCCACCAGAACAAAAATAAAACCAGATATATATTTTCGCAACACAGTTAAATAATATAAGTATAGAAATTATACATATGGTCATGCAATGCCCCCCTAAACAAATGTAGTGGTAGGTGTTTAAATGGTAGATACTTCACGGTTGGTAGCTGGTATTATCTATTTTTTTACTTAGTGATTAATGTACAATTAACTTCTGAAGCTAAACTACACATATACGCGCCTTGTTCGTTTTGGTTTCGAAGTTATTTTCAGCTTTAATTTACTGCAGAATCTTAGAAACGAAAACAGATTTTCTAAAATGATTTCTGACGATGATTTTAAGCCTTTACAATCGTAAACCATCGAAGAAAAATTGTACTTCGTATGTCGAGAGAAAACTCGACAAATGAAACTATCGAAAGTCTTTGAAAAATTATTTAAAAGTTATCTTTGTGCTATTTATTTAACTAAAGCCGAAATATAAAAAATCGATTCAGTGATATTCTTACTGGCTTTTATAAAGATTTATCTCTTATTTCACGTCGACGCATTAAAGAAATAGCAAACTGTGCCTCGAAATAACCATTAGATTCATTTTTTATTTTTTGTTCGGAAACCGCTGTTTTATGAGAATACTGTGGTACAATTGTCTAAATGCTAATAAAAACGTTGAAAAAACTAAACAAGTTTGCCCATTCTATACCAAATGACATCACTGTTAGGTCCGGTACCTAACGGGCATCATTGGTTTCCACCAAAATCGACCTATTCGTTTACTGTTATAATGATTTATACTTCCATTTTCCACCATAACAAATTTAATTTTTTATAATTTTGGTAACCTCTTATTGTAAGAATTGAAATATTATACACTGAAAACTCTTTACAACGAATCTTAAGGGACCTAAACATTTTTTTTTTCGTTATAGAGAGTTTTCGCAATACAGAAGAAAGATACTAATGTATGAGTTGTAAAGTAAACCAACCATTATTAAATCATTTTTACGAGTTTTTCATTTAAAAGAATTTTGTTATAAAGAATTTTCACTGTATTAATAGGAAAGATTATGTCCGCAGCACATGCGACAATCGACAATTCTATCAAGTTTATATAAAGTGTTGTAGTGATTTCACCTTTTATCGATTGTAAGATTTTACATTTTAGTTTATTTTGAAGATTTAGAGCTCTTGAGAAACAAGTACATTCGTGATAAAGGAAAATATAATCATTGAAAGTAATCGTGGTGAAAATAATTTTAAGTTTCGAATTGGTTCGTGTCATAAAAGGCTTATAAGTTGGCGATGTACAACTAAATGCTGTACAATAAATGTGTACACTGTACACAGATGTAAATTATACAATTTCTAAAAACAATAAAAATACACCACAGCACAATCTTGAAAAATATTACAGCCAATCATTGGAAAAACAAGTAGTAATTTTCAGCATGTAAAAGAAAAGCTATTGAAAATGTAAGTAGAAAATCAAAAATATTTGTTTACATCAAGGAGTTACTAAAATATAAAAACTTAAATTTGTTGTGGTGGAAAATGAAAATACAAATTATTATACTGGTAAGAAACGGTTAGGTCGATTTTGGCGGAAAAGTGGATCACTCGACCTAACCGACGCCAATCGACATAATAATATAATAATATACGTGTCGACATACTCGTGTAGGTACAATTTAAACCAATAATAAAGGACGGGTCGAGGAAAATAATATCAAATGCACGTGTACAGTGGTCGCAGTCGCTATATTATCATTATAATACATAGACGCGTTATATTAATATGTTATTATCATAATTATTATGGGTTTGTTTCAATGTTTACCATTGTGACCGGTTTCTACGAACATCCGTCGCATCCCACTTGGCATTATAAAGACGACGTTTTGGATAAGTATTTAATATTATAATATTACCCGTTCGGTATTCAAACGGCCGCTCGTACAAACATCTTACCGGAAACCGGTTAATTAGGAACAGTTGTCAATACTCGATAATAATAATTATTTTATTATAATAATATTATGACAGCGTTAATAAAACAGGTGTGGTTTGGGTATACTATTATAATATAATATGCCATCTGCAAACTACTGCAGTGTATCCCTTTTGGATTTTATGAATACATCGTTTCCGCCGAAAACCTTGATTTCGTTTCCGCCAAAACGAAAAAGTTCCGATTATAGTTTCCGCCAAATCTATTTCTACCTATATTATTGATATGAAGTCTGAGAACAGTGAGAACCCCTATTCTGCAATATACAATGTTATCCATTACCTGTGTATGTCCAGATAATTGATTTTACACGTAGTAATAAATTGCTAACTATTATAAAGAAATAAAAATCGATCCAATCTATATTATGTGTGTGACAACAACGACAACATTTCGGGTGTTACGACAACGTGAAACGTAGTCGTGTAAATTCGTTAACCCCGAGTAAACCGATAATGATTCGAGAACAATATACCTATTTATTGAATATATTGGAATTTATATATATATGTTTTAAATGAATTCATAACGAGTAAACGTGGTAAAAATATGATTTTAATTAATGGGTTCAAATTTAATTTTTCGTACAAATCGGTCCAAACAAAATGTTCTCTAAGTAACTCTAAATAGATTTCAAACTATAACTTAGACAGGTAAGTAGAAATAAATTTTGCAGAAATGAAAATCAAATTTTTTGACGGAAACGACTGAAGTCCAAAACATCGTGTTTGAAGGATTTTATTCCACGTCCTTTCTTACGGCAAAAATCGCCGATATCACATATAACAGAATAACCATAATAGGTATGAGCATATCCAGGGCAGTAAAACATTACTCAATTGAGAATTGAGCAGCTTCAAATTATTACTCGGATCTGTTTTACTTCTCAATTCAGAACTGAGTATATGTTGTACGGCAAACAACGGGAAATAGTAAGTTTTAAGCAAGTACTACACGAACCTTATTTACATAAAAGGAGATGTGTAAGTTCCAGTACGGGTCCAAAAGCATAGATATGTTAGTTCCTACATACGAGGCTTAAACGGGCAATTTTAAATTCCTGTACACGTACCATTTAATGAAATTAAAGGTTGTATGGGGAACTTATCCTTACTCAAATCAATACAATGATACCTATTCTTTTGTTATTGTTTGTATTATTTTGTTTTATACCAATAAAAACATACGGATCGTAAATTAAACCAATGACATTACACATTAGTCGTATGGTTGTGGCCTATTGTATATTACAAGCGTAGAGAATATTCAGAATATCCTACAAACCCTTAGCGTATCTCGAAAAGTAATAACTTTTTTGGAATATTTTTCGTTGACAATTTTAGAAACAACCAACACTAAAATGTTGCATTATTTTTAGAATGAAACGACTTTTACCTAACTTTTAACCTACTTTTAATTTTCCAAACGGTAACCTACGTTAAAAATTCCATAAATAGAATTAAGTATTACTTTGAAAACATTCCGGTATTGGAATTTCTGATTTCGGTCAACCCATTGACGAAAATTCACATAATATTTGATTAGATATTTCGTTTGTGTGTGCTCCATTCATATAGAGTGTTTGTATTAGAATACGCGTACCTACATATTTATTAAAAGAAACCAGCCATTGGTTTGAAAAGTGTGTAATTTTAAATTTCAATAGTACTTTACCAGGCGTTATAATTATTAATAAAGCAAATTTGTATAAGGTTTACATTATTATAATAAAGAATTCGATTTTCGTTTATTTAAATGCATCTTTCGAACATCACGTCGCGCCGCGACCGTGTGCATTAAAATAATGACGAGAACGTATTCTATAAAGCCATATAGATATAATGCAGGTACTCGTACCTATGTATTATATTATAATACTCATTCGTTAAACGGTTTCTTCCTCCTACATCAATAGAAATAATCTTCAACCCATTCTTATATTATTATTATATGCTGTTGTGCGTGTATACAAAAATGTTCAACATCAAGATACGGTGTGTAATTATTCTTATCTATAATAATAATAATAATAATATTATTATAGGCATATTGTAATGCGCCGTGTTTTAAACGAGCAGATTTTGACGAGCAATCTTAATGAAAAATGAAAAAAAATAATAATAGCCTGCACAGGAAATAAAATCATTATTACCTACTTATATTAATCTTCTCACAGACACGACATCGTGTATACACAATAAATAAATATGCCTATACATACCTAATCTTTTTTGTTCCGGTTCGGAGCGTTTAATAAAAGAGTATATACATGTATGTATAGGTACCTAACGTAATTTTAATATAATTGAAGATACTTAATATGTATAGGTACTATATAAGTGTTGAACACCAAATCCGGATCAACCCGAATCCTAATGTAGGAGGTACCATATTATAGTAATAATATACAATATACGTAATATGTATCTATACTATATCTACTGTATACGAGGGATGCAATTTTAATTATTTCCGAAAACAGCTTTCGACAATAATATAAATTG